CAAGTCGCATGAAGGGTGCGCTGCATCCTGCTAAGGGTGTTCGGCATCTTGTGCTTACTTCCTTGCGTACGGATGACAGCTGCGTATGACTTAATTTATTTTCTGGTGCTTTCATTTCCAGAGACAGCTGTAAGCACTGGGTAACTGCCTCGAGGGTGCTTGACCATTTTAACACAACGGGTTGCGATCATCCCCCATGCGCGGAGTGAGGGTTCTCCACCCCGCACAACATGATCCACTCGACCACCATTATGGTTACCGCCAAAAAAAAAACAGAGGTAAAAAAACACCCGGTAACCTGGTTGCCGAGCTCACGAGGTGACTTGGCTTGTTTAACAACGTCGTTGCCAAGCGACGAAAACCCAATCCCGATGGCAAACACCGGGGGGGGGGGGTTACCTACCTCACGAATTGCTTGTCTAAACACCCACTCGACCATTCTTCTGGCATGTAAAACGCCTCTCGTTCGAGATGAGGAACTGGGGAGCACCAACCGTACCAAGAAATCCCCCCGAAAAGACAACAAAACAACGAGCCATAACTAAAAGTTCACGAGAAACTACAACCCAATGCCCCCCCCCAACACGATTTGGACATCAAGATAGGGTTCGAGGAGGTAGCAGCGGATGTACAAAACTTCAAGAGAAAGGGGGAAGTAGTTTTAGTTGGGGACTTCAATTCAAGAATCGGGCGAACCACGAACCCACACGGAGCCATCGTGCAATACGGGGAGGGAGCCACGAACAAAAACGGGGAAGAAATGCTGAGGTTCCTTGACAGTAGCGAGATGAAGGTGTTGAACGGTAGAGTACGAAAGACAGAACCGGAATGGACTAGGCAGTGTTTAAAAAAAGGAGAACGCTCCATCCTTGACTACAAAGTCGTAGAGCATGGGGGGAAAAAGACGGAAGTACGAGTATGCACAACGGATGCAGGCACCACAGACCATGCGTTGGTGTGGACAGCCCTACAACAGACGAGAGTCATACAGAGTAGGCGACATAGGAAAATGTACAGATGGAGAATAGATAAGCTAGAAGTAGAAGAAACGAGGGTAGAGTTCCAAGAAGAGATGGCTATAAACGACAAGAAACTCTCGGAGT